CACCCATGCCCCCGCACACGCGTGTGTGCCCCCCCAGCCGTGCCCCCGCACACGCGTGTGTGCCCTGCTCCCCCCGTGCCCCCGCACACGAGCGGGTGCCCTCCCAGCCGTGCCCAAAACGCGCTCATCCCGGCGCTGTGTTCAGCAGCTTTTGCCACTTTCGGTTTATTTTAAGGCAACCAGCGAGATCCTGCAGCCTGCCTGGGATACCAACCCCGCTGCTGCTTTCTGCAGCTCTTGCAGGAGTGAAATAAGGCAGCCACATCTTAATTATTTTAAATTTTAGTTTAAATAAAATGTAAATTAAATTTTACTTTAAATCTCAGGGGGTTTTTTTGTGTGTGTGTAGAAAACACATTGCTTGTCACACCTGCCAATACAGCTGGGTAACACAGACAAGTTTTTGGACCTAGTTCCTTGCCATGCCAAAAAAGAAGCAGCAAAATGCCAGATTAAAAGTAAATTGGGGAAGAAAAAATAAAAATAATTTAAAAAGTGAAGTTTAGAGGTACAATTGTTTAAGTAATCTACCAGAGTGCTTGAGAATAAAGGCTGTGAACACCTATGGAGTGGAGTAGGGGGGTAGGTGGGTTTTGCACCCTTTTACCAATGGAAAAGAGACCCTCATGATCTGTCTTTCCTTTGCTGTTACACTTGCCATCAGAATTGGAAAGTTTGGGCTAGAAGCTACAATACACAAAAGGCAGAGAAAGCACGACCTTCAAAGTAATGCTTCCGTGTGAGATAATCAGCTCTCAGAATTTGTTCCAAGAAGTGCACAGGCATGCACGCAGGGAAGCATGCTGCTAATTAAAAACCATGCTAATTTCTGAATTCAACTACATTTACTTCCAATACGTGCTGTTAAAAAGCAGTGATTAGGAACATATATCTTTCTTTATTCCAGTTCTGTTTTGTACTCTCATCAAATATTTGTATATAGTAATTTTCAATATTTCCTTCTAGGCTCAGTTAATTGCCTAGTGCCAGACTCTTTTGTACAGTGTTCTCCCAGCAATTTGAAACATGCTTTTGAAATTAAAAGAAGGCAATTGTAAACCCACAAAACCGACAGAGCAGCTAATGAGATAAGATCTTCAGGTGCCTCAGTAAGATGATTTTCAGTTATGCCACATGTGAACTGCTTTTCCTTAATGCCCTTTGTAAGAGATAGCTCAACAGTCTGCCAGAAGGAAGTTTGCTGAGTGAGGATAGCCATTAGTTCCTTGCTTTTTGCCTTGCAAAACAACTGGCTGTAGATTCTTTTACCAACTATAAACGATGCCAGTTTAAATCACCTTCTGCTTGATGAGGGATGGAAGCAATACATGCTACACAAACAGTACCTCAGTGACCTACTCCATGGCCAAGCCTCCACTCCAAGGAGCACAGACCTCCCAGCACATCCAAAACTCCTTTTTACCTGTGTCGCTACTTTGCTACTCAGTTCAGCCTGGTTTGAGGCTGCTGAGAAGTTTCTGCCTGTGGGAGCTGTTGCTCAGGTGTTTTCCATCGCGTGGGCAAAATCCACATGTGTTGAGCAGGCTTCCCCTGCTTCCAATCATGATTAATGCAGCATGACTTTGTGAGAAATGCAGCAATTGCTTGGTTTAAAAGGAACATTAGAGGACTACTCTATAAATATTCTGGTCGTAGATGTAAGATTGCAACTGTGATGTCCTTAGGCAATTTTTTATATATATATATTTAAAAATGTTTTATTGGTTGTTGTTTTTTCCTAATGAGTAAGAGTAGGAAGAGCCTAAAAGGACAGCTGGAGAAAGGGACCATCAAGTCAGACCATCTGCTTGCCAGCTTTCTGCTAACTGCCAAGCACTGTGCTGCAGTATTCACTGATGCCAGTCTTTTAACCTCCAGGGCAGCTAGTTTCAGCAAAGATGGTTGAGTATACTTTTGTGCAGTCAGGCCCCTACCAGGAGTAGCATTGTAATTCTTTTAGTTATTATGTTGTAGTCATACCTTTTACATATCAACAGGATTATTCAGAATAGAACAACATCAACCACACAAGGCTGAAAAACGGGGCGTATCTAGCTAATCTTATAATTTCCCACAGTTATGTTTATGTTTAGTGAATTGGGATATACCAGGAACTGACTGCATATTCTGTGGGTTCACAAATTAGTGTGAGCATTAATTTTACACTCTATTGTCTGTGCATACTGTGATACTAATGTTTAAACCAGTCAAACCTGCTCCTTAGATTATAATAAAATGCTTGTCGATAACATGCTTGTCGATTTACAGTTTTAAATGGTTTTTTTGACATTTTCTAAAAAAATTTTTTTTTTTCCTTTTTTTTTTTTTTTTTTTTTTTTTTTTTTTTTTGGACTGGTTTGTTTCAGAAGCTCATGACAGCACAGCAGATTTCTCACCTTCAAACGTTTTTGAGATTCGTCTTAAATGAAACCCTTACTAAAACTATGCTCTGCTCTCCCTGCCTGGCAAAACCTGAAAGCTTTCAGACTTCTTACAATTATAGATGAAGTAAGAAAGAATGAAAGGAATACACTAAAAGGATAACTATTTTTAAGCTGAAAACCTGCATTTTATTTCAACAAATGTGAACAAACTGAATCCTGTTTATGTCCACCTAATGCCTAAAACTGTAATTGTCCAAACCACTTCATTTTTAGAAGCACCTACAAACCTACTGAGAGCTTTTATCTTGATACAAGTTGCATGGCTTGAAATACTGCACACAGCTCCTGCTGCCCGTTTCTGTTGGATGTTGACACTTGAAAACTTCAATTCCAGCCTCCAGGTTTGGTGAATATGTATTACTTCAACTTTTTCACATCCATGTAGCTGTTAGTCTGGGTTCTCTGCAGCATGCCACCTCCTGTGCATCAAGATCTGAGACGGTCCATTGGAAACTACTCACACAGGCAGCCTTATGTCTCCTCAGGCAAAACTGCAAGTTTTACACAGTTCTAGTAGCCCTTCCCGTCGACATTACAAAGTGAGAGTACAGATACAGACCTCACTCAGAATTCATAAATTCTGTTTACTGTTCCATGTGCAAGGCAAAGAAAGATGAGGTAGGAAAATTTCTCCTGTTGCTTTTCTGGTGGTTTGTAAATAGTTATTTTAGCAACATATTACACAGAGCAAACTTTTGTTCTGTCTTGATTTTATGCAGTGCCTTGAAAGAGAAAAGGCAGCCCAGAACGGGACCGAAAACTTATATAAAATTTAGCGGCTCCAAGACACTGCCATCTCTTCCAGTTTTATTCCCTCTGGTCAGGGCTTATTTCCCCTTAAAATTTATGAAAAAAATAACTGTGATTAAATTATAATGTTAATTAAAATTATCTGTTTGTCTGGAACATGTTATTTGTGTTATCAGAGAATCAAAAACTATTGGTTTACAGTTGTTTTTTGTTTTGGTTTCATATTTTTTTTAAGAGCATCTATCTTCTTTTGGTCTGAAAATTCTACCTTTTTTCTAGCCAACTATGCTCCTATATTAAAGAATTTTTAAAGCACTAATGTCTAACAACAGAAAATTACTGAAAACTTTTATTCAGAATGAAAAGACAGTATTTCTTTAACCTTGTATGAGTTCTTTTAACATAACCCCATGATTTGGAGGGAGAAAGGAAAACTGACAGGAGTTTTAAAAGCCTTTGGTTAGCAAAAAGGTGTAGCAGGTTTTATGTTTAGAAATTTTGGTTTATGGAAATTCACTTTTTTTCTTAGATGTCACTTTTTTTGGGAAGAGCAGTAGATGACAAAAAAGCATACTACAGACAGGACATTAAAAAGATTAAGATAATCTCAAATCTATAGCAAAAACCCTGGGTTCTGTGGAAATACGAGTCTAATTCGCGGCAATAGTAGTAAGTTGGGGTTTTTTAATTAAAAGAAATGGCATGAAGCACCCTGTCTCCTGGCTTATCTGCCCTGTGCTTTGCTCCCAATGCACTCTCCTTCTTCACTGCTTTCAGACAGACCCCTAAGGCTGTAGATGTGCCCCAAAGGAGAATGCGAGTAACTTTCGAACTCCCAACTTTCATCAGGAAATCTAGAAGACACACAGGGAGACACAGAGAGCATGAAAGAGCTACTCAACCCTGTATGGTTTGTTTTGCTGAAATATTTGTTTGGCTGTGGCTCTTGGATACATTTTGTTCTTTCCTTTCTGGCTAAATTAGACATTATTTGTGAAATTAATTAATTCACCTCTAAGATAAAGGCATGAGCAGCACTTAGCAACTACCTGTAACCACACTTCCAGCTGGTTA